CGCGGGAGGCACGCGGGAGGCACGCTCGGAGGCGCGCGGGAGGCACGCTCGGAGGCACGCGGGGTGCACGCGGGAGGCACGCGGGAGGCACGCTCGGAGGCACGCGGGAAGCACGCTCAACGATTCTGTTGTACCGCCGCCTGCAGATGCGGTGTCTCGAGCACTTGTTCTGTTGTGCCGCCGCCTGCAGATGCGTGGCCAGTCGCCGCCGCTTGCAATGGCTATAGACAGCATGCCGCCCGCGTGCCGAACACCGACGTCCTCCATTCGGCTCAGGCCGACGTCCTCATGCACCCTACTCCCCCTTCTGGCCTCCTGCAGGCCCGTTTCCTGGCTCAGGTCGACGGATGATGGTTCTATCGGGCAAGGCTAGTCTCTCCAGACACTTGAGGTGAGTGGTTGTGATCTTCTCCTGTGTTCACATCTCTTCGTCCCCTTCGGGGGGCGGGTTCACCCCTTCCCCTTCGCCCGCGATCCACGGCAGGGGTTCGCCTACGATTGCCGCCACCACTACCGCCACTACTTCCACTGCCGAAACCACCACTACTACTACTACTACTACTACTACTACCACTACTACTACTACTACTACTACTACTACTACTACTACTACTACTACTACCAGCAGTGCTACTACTACTACTACTACTACTACTACTACTACTACTACTACTACTACTACTACTACTACTACTACTACTACCACTACTAGCACTACTCGCACTACTACTACTACTACTACTACTACAACTACAACTATGTACTACTACTACTACTACTACTACTACTACTACTAATACTTCTATCACTAGTACTCGTACAAATACTACTACTACTACTACTACTACTACGACTACTACTATCACTGCTACTACTACTACTACTACTACTACTACTATAACTACTACTATATAGCTACTATACTACTACTACTACTACTACTACTACTACTACTACTACTACTACTACTACTACTACTACTACTACTACTACTACTACTACTACTACTACTACTACCGCTATCGCTACCGATACCGCTACCTATTCTTACTACTACGAGTAGTACGGCTATGATTACGACGGCGATTAGGACTACGACCACGACCACGACTACGACGACTACTATTTGTATTAGTACTACTATTTACACTACTACTACTGGTGCTAGTACTACTACTACAGCTAGTACTACTACTACTACTACTACTACTACTTCTACTTACTACACTACTACTACGACTACTCGTACTACTACTACTACTACTACTACTACCACTACCACTACTACTACTACTACTACTACTACTACTACTACTACTACTACTACTACTACTATTACGACTACTACGACTACTACGACTACTACTACTACTACTACTACTACTACTACTACTATACTACGAATATTACTACTACTACTACTACTACTACTACTACTACTACGACTACTACGACTACTATTACTACCACTGATACATTCGATTGCTACTACTACTACTACTACTACTACTACTACTACGACTACCATTACTACTACTACCATTACTAGTACTATTGTTACTACTACTACTACTACTACTACTACTACTACTACTACGACTACTAGTACTACTAGTACTACTAGTACTACTACTACTACTACTACTACTATAACTACTACTATAACTAGGTCGACTGCTAATACTCACTACGACTTCTGTATGCATTTGTTTTAAAACCTGATACCTCAAGTAATCGCACTGTTATTTCTACTACTACTGCAACCCACTACTGCTACTACTACTACTACTACTACTCCTAGTCCACTACTGCAACTTACTACTGATGCGACCACTATGATTACTACCACTACTCCTTTTACTACTACTATGGCTACTACGACTACCACTACTACTACTACTACTACTACTACGACTACTACTACTACTACTACTACAACTACTACTACTACTGCTACTACTACTACTACTGCTACTGCTACTGCTACTGCTACTGCTACTGCTACCGCTACTACTGCCACTACTACTACTACTACTACTACTACTACTACTACTACTACTACTACTACTACTACTACTACTACTACTACTACTACTACTACTACTACCTCTGCTACTACGACGCATCCAGGGTGCCTCTTCGAGATCATCAATAGAAAGGGGGGCGGAAGGGGGGAGGGGGGGGGGGAGAGGTGGGGGAGAAGGAGCCTGACAGATAGCATAACACTGGCAATCGCTCCTTGGATCTGCTCAGTGGACGCGGTCGCCGTCTTCAGACCGTCCTTCGCCTTGTCCAGCGCCTGGCCAACCAAGCCCATGGGCGCGGTCATTTTCTCGAGGAGGCCCTTCATGGTGTCCTGAATCTTGGCTAGCTCGTCATTGGCCGCCTCTGCCTTCGCGACGAGCTCGGTAGGCACGTCGCCTTTGTTGTCGGGGGCTATCGCCAGAGAGAGTTGCGTGGTGAGGTCGAGCGTTCCCTTCTCCTGCTGCTCCTTCATCTT